GAATTATATTTTTTTCTAAATAATTTTAATAAATCATGCATGTATTCTTTTGATGAATAAATAAAATCTTCACATAAACCACACAAATTCATATCTTTGATCATTTCTAATCTATTTCCATCTTTATCTAAATTAGTAAAAGATTCGGAATATTCTGAAATAATCGTTTCATCATCAATCCCACATAATAACATTATAAGCATACATATCAAACCAGTTCTATCTTTTCCATATTTGCAATTAATGATAATAATACCTTCTCTATTATGTAATAATAATTTAAATATCTTTAATATTTCAATTTTATCAGCTTCTAGAAAATCCATGTACATCGCAATAATACCTCTTCTTACTAATGTATTTGTTAAAAAATATTTCTTATCATTGTAAAAATAAAATAATATCTTATCTACCCAACTAGAATTTTTATAATATAATGAATATAAATTTAAAGTTAACATTTCGATTGGTATAGTTATTATACATTTTCTAATATCAGAAAAATTTTCAAAACTACATCCTCGTAAATCTATAACTTTGATATCTTTTTCTACTCTTTTAATCAAATACTGGTATTCTTCTTCATTGAGTAAATCAAATTCATTTGAACGATAAATATTTAACACACCAATGATATTTCTAAAATTTTCAAACATTTTTTTTTATTTAACAATCATAAAATTAATGATCTATTTATACTATTTAGACTATATTTAATGTATTTAAATTATCGCAAATATCTTTTAAACTAGTAATATCATAAGCTTTTCTAATATAATAAAGTATTTTTGTTAAATTTTTATAAAATAAATCAGTAACTAATGATATATTATTATCCAAAACTCCTTCTAAACTTCTATAAGCTATTTCTAATTCGATACCTTGAATAAAAAAAAATAATAAATTATTATATTATTAAGATTAATAAATAAATAAATCAAAATACTTACTTTATTTACAAAATTAATAATTATTAATATAAATTAATTATAATAATAATCAAACAAATAATATATTTTACCGTTTTGTTTTATTGAGATTAATAATCCAATCCTAAAAAAAAAGTTTATTAATTATAAATAATAAAATTTCATTTTTTTTCTTACACACATACCATTTTTTGTGTTTTTGATAAAAAATCTTTACCCAATTTATCAATTTGATTTATTAAATCATTCGAAAAGTTGACAACTATCATACTATTTTTGAATTTTATTTTACTAACTTTATCATGTATACCTATCCCGTCATTAATAATAAAAATACCAAATATAGGTACATTGTATTCAGATAATTTATTATCCAAATCTTTGATATCTTTAATCATATTTTCTACCCAATAATTATGATAACATGGTTTTTGTTTATTTATACAAATATCACATATTGTACGATATTTGCATTGGATTAATAATGGATATCCTTTCCAATTACATAAAATATCAGTTTTGTCATCCCTGAATATACTGTATGTTCCGATTTTAATAATTTCTAAATCTTGTATCGTTCCATTATCTAATATTAATAATTCACCTGAACGTATACACTTTTTTCCAATTC